TCTCAGTTCAAATGCTATTTTTTGTGTGTCCAGTTTCTCCTCCCTTCCTATTATACTAAAGAATTAGCGCCCAGTGGCATTTATAGCCATTGTAAACAGCAAGTCAGCTGTTCTTTACAGAACGTTGTGATGTGTATTCGGGTAAGAAGAGAATATCAAGTATGAAGTGCATACTTCTATTTATGAAAGCAGATTTGCGGGACTACTAAGACTGGGACATGTCAAACCAGATGTACTTCACAATTGATCTAGTTAGCACAACAGTATCCTAGGCACCCAGCCATACAGTCTGAGCCTGGAAAACAACAGGACTCCAGGAGCTGTGACAGTAACTTTCTGTGAGAGGATGCAGGCAGCTACCTCCTTCACCTTCCCCAGCCTAAACTCCATTTTATAGCAAGAGCCCTGTGATCACAATATTAAAGCCATTCCGGAGGATGTACACTTCCTTAAAAACAGCTGATTGTTACTGCACTAAGACCATTTTATAAAAGTTATTTTGTGCACATATCCTGGAATTTTCCTCCAAAAGGCCCTATGTCAAATAAGTGCTTAATTCTACCTGGATATAGTCAGTCAACTTCATTCCCGGGATGATTGGGGGGAAAGAAGAGGAGACTGAAGCAAACATTAAAAGAACAGAATGCAAAATGAGGCTTTCATTTCTTCAGAAGCTAAACAACTGATTCTGCACCACTCTGGATTGGAGGAGCAAGATACCCAGTTTGGGAGTCCAACTCTGATCTACTTGTATTATGCTTCCATTAAAACACCAGGCAAATTCTTGCTGGAATTGTATTAGGCCTTGGGGAACGTACATCTAGAATGGTTATAGCAGCATACTGGGAGTCAGGGTTTGGAGGTACTGTTCATGGCTCTATTGTAATCTCAAATGACTTTAAGGGAGCACCACAAGGGACCTGTCCTAGTCACTACTCAAGTTTATAAAACATGATCTTTTACTGTGGGAATGTATTTTTCTATTTTCATCATATTCCTCCATAGCAGAGAAAAGTTTAGATACAGATTTGAAATGCCAGAATTTGGATTTCCATGTGCAGCGTGTCATGTTTAGACTCCCTTTAGATTACTACCCATTCTCTTTGAAAATGGCTTTTCTTTCTTTCTGAACACGCACAGCTCTAGGCCCAATTTACTGATTTTATATTAGGATTCAAGCTATCACTGTTTAAATTATTCATCCACCAAATCATAAGCATCCTCATAAAAAGTTTAAGCATACACTCTTTTCTCAACACAAAAAAAGGAGTAACAGCTCATCTATTTGATTGCTGCTACAGATCAAAGTTTCTTATCGCTACACGCCTACAAAACAGGGACAAATTGGTTTTGTGATCTAAAAGAAAATTTTGGTTACTCCTTCAGGAGGCTCATTATCCTGCAGATCGGGTTCCTTTCACAATACAATTTGATGCATTTAATTTTAGTCTCTCACACACTTCTACCTGAGAAGTCTGCCCAATTTTCCCCCTCTGTGCTACCTGAATTTCTTATGCTTCCTGTTAAAGTCCACCTTTGACTGCACAACGTTATCATTTATTGATAGAGGCGGCACTGGAAAAATCACCATCCTCTCTCTCCACAAAAAACCCCACCACCCTCAAGTCAGAAGGGTGGTACTATACACTCTCTAGTGGTACAGCTGACAGATAAGTCATAGTTTACATAGTTTGAGACATCTGATGAGAGTGACATCAAATTGTTAAACTGGATTGTACCCTATAAGACATTCTTCTTTCCCCTCTTCCAGGCTTAGATTAAATTTAAATGTGACTGTAAACCCAGTGACAATAACCAAAGGACACCTTGCCAAAAACAGGTAACAGTTATATTCAGTTTGTAGGTGGAGGAAACTAGCACTCCATAGATTGAATAAAGCTGTGTCTGCGAGCAGGAACTCTTCCTCTAAAGGCATGTCTACGCTAGACTTAAATCGACCTATGTTAGGTCAACTTACAGTCACTGCAGTAATTACTGTGGTGGCTGATGTCCATACTACCCTTCTTCTGTCGGTGGTGCGCGTCCTTCCACCGACTGAAGAGGGGCAGTGTGGGGGACAAGGCTCTCAGCTCCGCTCTGCTCCCGGCCAGCTGCCCGGGCTTCTCACCTCCCCATTCCCTGCTGGGGCCAGACACCCGAGGTTCTCACCTCCCTGAGCAGGGAGCCAGGCAGGGGCAGCCCAGCTGGGAGCGGGGAGCCAGGCGGATGCAGCCTGGCTGGGATTGGGGAGCCAGTGTCAGCCAGGATCTAGCTGCCGGGCTTTCTTGTCAATTTCAGGACTCCAGCAGGGAGCCTTGAAATTGACAAGACAGCCAACAGCAGATGTAAGTAACTCAGTGTCTGAGACAGCATCACCCTAACTACATTAACATAAGTCCTAAGCCTCTCCTGGAGGTGGAGTTATGTGTAGTATGGCACTTACATCAGCGGGACAAAGCTGTACTGTGTACATTACACTGATATAAGTAGGTCTACATGAGCTGCCTTACGTCAACCTAACTATGTAGTGTAGACCAGGCCTGAGTAGTTTTACAAGGTCTGCAAGTGAAGGGAACACTGGCAATATATAGTTGACTGTATAGGAAGAATTTCATGGCTGATGGTGACCATGGAGTCTGTGATCAATTTTTCTAGACTACAGTGGTCATGACAATGATTCATCCCAACTGTCACTGGAATAAGTATGTTGCGATTTGTGTCAGACCTGAGAATCAGTGAATTCTGTAGGTTTTTCTTATTCCTACATGAAATTATGGTTCTTTAGTGGCATCAGGGACACCACTAGTTTGATGTTCCGTAGTCTATTCACCTCATCCAGTAGTTCAGTGGTTCTCAAACTGTGGGTCGGGACCCCAAAGTGGGTCATGACCCCATTTTAATGGGGTCGCCAGGACTGGTTTAGAGTTGCTGGGGTCCGGGGCCGAAGTCAAAGCCCGAGGACTTCAGCTCTGGACAGCAAGGCTCAGGCTGGGCTTAGACTTTGGTCCCCTAGCCTGAGGCGGTGGGGTTCGGGCTTGGGCTACCCCACCTGGGGCAGCAGGGCTCGGGCAGGCTCAGGCTTCGGTCCCCCGTCCTGGGGTTGTGTAGTAATTTTTATTGTCAGAAGGGGGTCACAGTCAAATGAAGTTTGAGAACTGCTGCAATAGTTTGTAGAAACTAAGCAGGCTAAAGGGGTTTTCTCTAAAGAGAGGACAGAAGAATCAAGTTATACATCAAGCAGCAATGCATGGTTTAAATCTGACAGCCTGGAGCTTGAAAGTCTGCATTAAAACCTTTCTTCCTTCTGCTGAGTTTCTGGTAGTGAAATCAATTCCACAGTCAAGCCAAGTTTAAAACACCACTTTCCTCAGCCCACTGATTTCTCCCATGGATCAGGATCAGCTGGGTTATACATCACGCTGTTATTAATTCATCAAGGTTGTCTGAAAACTAGTTTTGTTATATCTCAGGAGATGCAGCAACAAGACAAGAAAACACTCCCTTAACATTTTATACTTCTTCAGAGACAGATCTATCATTACTGCACCAGATTCAGCAGTAGATTTGAAGGTTAAAAAACACCCCAAACTGGGTGTCCTTTCCCTCCAAATAAAAAAATATCTAAATTTGAACTACGTGACTCAGATTCTGACTACCATCCTGATCAGCACTGAGAACTGCATGGGCACAGGACCTGCCATGGAGTTTTAATGCTGGATCAGAGGCATCATTTGCAGAATAGAAGAAAACTGAAATGGATAAAATGTATTTTCCAATATATTTTATTCTTATACTAGATTCCTACTTTAAATTCAAACAAAACATATCAAGCTCTGGAAGGGGAGAGTTTGTATATATGCACTTATTATTACAAGAAAAAAATATGAAATGAGTGAAGGATTATTCATATCTATTGTGTGCTGTCAGACGCTACTCTGGAGAGGAATATAAACAACCAAAACTTTAAAATACTTTGCACCTCTGTAGCACTTCTGATCCAAGCATCTCCACGCCCTCTGCAAACATTAAGCTTCACAAGACTCTAGTCTGATAAGGGAGCATAACTAATTGGAGTTCACAGATGGAGAAACTGAGTCACGGAGCCAGGAAGGGACTTGCCCAAGGTCACACAGCGAGCATGATGGCGAGATGAGCCAGAGATCCCCTGTAACCACTGAGCAGGGAAGGCATCTGCTCTAACCACTCAGCCAGTCTCAGCTGACGCCCACCAGTAACTTGCTAGGACTGAGAACTACATTTCCCAGCCAGCATCAGTGTCGGGGCTGCTGACAGTTCCTGCTCCGGGGCCCCAGGCCCAGAAACTCACCCCTCCCACGGCAGGGCCCAGGCCCCTGGCAGGGAGAGCGACACCGGTGGGGGGACATTAAACGGGGGGACCCCCGAGCGGGGCCCCGCCCTGATCAGCCTGCAACAGCCTCCCCTCGCCCTGTCCCCGCGGGGCCGAGCGCCCTGTCCCCGCCCTGCTGCCGGGGGGCTCCCCGGGGCGTCCCCAGTGGGGGCTGGAAAGCAGAGTCACTGCGGCCTGGGGCCCAGCCCCGGGGGGAGACATTCAGCCTCGGGCCCCAGGCGCCGCTGGCTGAGGCTCGTGGCCCCAGGCCCGGCCTGGCAGAGCCCCCCACACCCCCCACGGGGACCCTGGCCCGGGGCTGCGGCCGGCCGGGCTGAGACGCGCGGGGAAGCCCCGGCCCCGGGCTTTAGTTTCCATTTCACACCGTGACTGCGCACAGCCGAGGCCTAGCCCCGGCTCCCTCCCCGCCCCCGGCCCGGGGCGCCCCCGGCCACACGGGGCGATGAAACCAGCATCCCCCCCCTTCCCCAGCTCCCCGCCCCCTCAGAGAGAGGGGACCGGCCCCGCCCCACGGACAGGCACACACCGGGGGGGGGGGGTGCCCGGGGGAGGGGGATCCTGCCAACCCAGCGCCCCCTCCCCCGAACCCCCCCCCTCTCCGCCGCCCCGGAGCCGTGTCAGTGTCACTTACTCAGCTCGTCCTGGGCAGCGGAGGCGGCCGCAGCCATGTTGGCAGCCGCCGCGGGAGGAGGCGGGGGCTCTGGAGCAATCCCGTCACTCGGGGTGGGGTGGGGTCCCTCCCCGCCTCGCCCCTTCGCTCTCCCCGCGCCCCCTTCGCCTGGCCGCGGGGCCGGGGCCCTGCCCGGCTTCTCCCCTCCCCAGCGCCAGCCGCCGGGCGAGCGCGGCAGCTCCCTCCGTGCGCGAGCGAGGGTGGCTCCCACACCCTCCCCCAGTCCAGCCTCCCTCCGGTTTTATATTTAGAAAGAGCTGAGCCCTCGTCCCACCCCCCCCCCCCTCCCTCCCTCCCTCCCTGGTCTATTTCCCCCTCCTCTGCCTGCGCCTGAGAAACAACCCAACCCCGAGGGCTGAAGGTGCTCACCCCAACCCAGCAGCCCTCGCCTGCTGCCCATGTGCTCGGGGCTGCTTCCCTCGTGGCTTTCCTCTTGCTGCCTTTGCACCCAGCCTCCCCAAGGGGAGGGCAACTGACCTGAGTCCATGCTGACCTCCATGGCTGCCGAGGCACTTTCTTTTCTTCACTTAGAAGGGGGGTCGGGGTGGGGTGGAGAGAAACAGGTCAATCAGCAGCAAAACGGCTGCGTTTCTCCCCCTATCTGTGGTAGGTGCTTGTAGCAGTCTGGAGGATTTCTAACTGGGAAAGGTGCTGCCTGGGACTTGGAGCCACTGCCGGTCGGGCACAGATTTTAGAGGAAGTGTGAAACACTCCCAGGGGGTGCCACTTCCTCCCATCTGTCCTTCCACTGCTACTAGTCTCCTGTCCATACCCTCAAACGGCTCCAGGAGAGATTTTCCTCCCTTACTTCAGTGTTTCTTTACAATCTAATTTAGGGCTTGTTTACATGGGGAGTTATTTCCTAATAGCTAATCCTGAAAACTCCATGTGTTCTTATTCCAGAATAAAAGTGCTTTATTCTGAATTAGCTTAATCCACTGGAATACACTCATTCGGACTAAGGCACTTTTATGCCGGAATAAGAGTGTCCACACATGGACTTAATCAGGAATAGTTAAGCAGCTTTAAAATCACATCCTACCATATTCCAGATTACTTTTCATGTGTGGACACTCATATTCCAGAATAAGAGTACCTTATTCCAATAGTGTATTCCAGTGGGTTAAACTATAGGAAAGAAAGCGCTCTCCATAAGGCTTCCACTCCTCTCAGTACTTCTAATTTATAAATGCTCTTTTAAAGAAAGACATTGTCACCACTCCTTATTTAGTGCTTCAGCCCCGAATGGGTATCAGCATCAAGGTGTGTCAGGTATAACCACACCACAAGAATCCTCCAAGGAATAATTCTGTCTCCAACACTCCTGTGGCCATGTTTAAAAAAACTCTGCAAATAAATATTTGGGAAGGAATTGAAGTTTCATATTGAAAGCTTTTTTTTAGCATGAGGTTATTCTCACTGAGATATTATTTTTAAACCCTGTTAATAGAGGAGGCAAATGTTAATTCTAAGCAAATTTAAACATAAGGTTGAATTGCTATAATAGAAAACCAAAGACCTAGCAAAAATATTAGCCGTCCATGCTTCTCCAAACACCCTTCCCGCACCAAAATAGTCACACGACAGGAACAGGGGCCGGAGCTCCGGGACCTTTAAATCCCCACCCGAGCCCGGCTGCTGGAGCTCCGGCCGTGATTTAAAGGGCCCAGGGCTCCCCACAGCAGCTGGAGCCCTGGGCCCTTTAAATCACCGCCAGAGAAGCTGGTCCAGTCCGGCACGGCGTAGCCAGTACGCCGGACCGGACTGTACCGGCTTACTTTCACCTCTGATTGCCAGTGTTAGCAGAAGTTGCAGTTTGCTTTACGTGAGTCCATTTGGGAGTGGAGAGTGAGTGGCTGGCACACCAAATACTAAACCCATCCCAGGAAGAATCGGGTGGGTTAGTGAGTGTGTATGCACAATCAGTTGGCCTGCTGCCACCAAAAAGACAACATGGACACCATACTACTTCAAGTCCTAATCAGAATGGCTACAGGACAGGAGTTCAAACTGTGGTTAGGTAAAACCCATTCACAATGCTAACAGTGATTTCCTCCTGCACAAAGTGACTAAAGGTGATAAAGAATTGAAGGAGAAGATTCCAGCTAGGATTGGAAAAGCCAGATGACAAGTGAGCTATTTGGTTTTTGTAGCGAGGTGCAACAAACCAAACAAGTGAAACGTCATCACCCTGCGGTGAGAGTCAGGTCTATCAAAGAATGGGCTGGGAAGAGCTGGTTGTGTTCATCTATCAAGAAAAGGATTTAAGGATATGGGAAAAAGCAAGCAAGAGTATCTGCTAATGCAGAAAGGAGACAAAGAAATCTGTAGGAAGCATAAGTGAGAAAAACCATGGTGGGACTACAGTTTCAGTGGATAAAAGCATCACAGCTCAAATGAATATGAAGGGTATTTTTATGACATAATTTCCTGCATAGGGTGACTAGATCCCAATTTACTGGAAATGGCCTGATTTTGAGAAAATGCCTCTGCCAATTCTATCAAAATCAAGGGTTAGTCTCTATCAATGTAAATCTGCTGGGTGGCAAACCCCTTTGCTCTAATACACAGTGGATTGTAAAGGGCTACAAATCCCACAAGACCAGGTGTATATTGGATACAAGGACATATGCAGGGATAATTTAAAGAGGTCTTATGTTGGGGGGGAGGGATAGCTCAGTGGTTTGAGCATTGGCCTGCTAAACCCAGGGTTGTGAGTTCAATCCTTGAGGGGGCCACTTAGGGATCTGGGGCAAAATCAGTACTTGGTCCTGCTAGTGAAAGCAGGGGGCTGGACTCGTTGACCTTTCAAGGTCCCTTCCAGTTCTAGGAGATGGGATATCTCCATTAATTTAAAGAGAGTGGTGAATCCGTGGAATGGAATTACCGAGGAGAAGACATAGACAAAAAGTGTTCATGCATTACATATTTATCAGAAATTCAAGAAGATAAAAGGATATTGTGGATTGCCACGGGCACGCAGGGGCGAAAGAAAATGCAGGCCTGTTATTTACCAGGCTGCACGTGGCAATAGACTATATTGGTAAGGGATGCAAGGAGAGTATGGGTCACGATACAAACTGCAGACACACACACACAGCTAAAATTAATCAATTTAAAGTTTTATTGGGGATAATTACAAGGGGTAAGGGAGCAGTGTTTGATTAGCTAATAGAGTTAATGAAACTTAAAACACACAATGACTAAAATATCTACTAACAATATTTATAAACAAAGATGCAGCAATTAGTAATAACTGATACTTACAAATACAAACCAACGCATAACGACCGGCAAACGTAGAAACTCTGTTTGAAACACGTGAGCTGAGAGAGAGGCTTTGAGGTGATCAGGCTCGGTTACGGGTGTACACAGGATACACAGGATTCGTTTTTCTTTCTCCTCTCCCTGCCTGCACATGGCAGGCAGCCCATAAAGTACCAACTATGACATCATAGACGTGTCATAGGGGACGGGCCCAAAACCTGTTTGTGTTCGTTTCTGATTGGCACAAGCAAAGTTTACATCAAGTAGGGGAGCAGGTGCCTCAAAGTCTGGCTTCGCCCCCAAAAGGTGAGGAAATGCATATTGCTTTAGAATGCGTGCAACACTGAATGACAAAAGAAGAGGCCAGGGCAATACCGGTATGGGCAAGTTTTACAGGATGCAGACAGGAACTCATCTCAACAGATATTAACCAGTTTTATGCTTGGAAGTATCTGACCACCCTTTCTGGGGCTCAGGAGGACATTTTTCACTGATCAGGCATTTTTTAATTCCAGATCAACACTATTTTGTGGAATTTGGAGGGGGGGGTAATTTTAAATGATTTTTTCCCCACCAGTATTTTAGCCGTGTTCCAACACCACAAGCTTTATAAAAACTTTTGAGAGTTCAGAGCTTTAAGGAATCAGAAAAGCAGATTGGAAATGAAAGGATGTGCTCTAGCCGGCCTCAGTTTCATTAGCAAATGAAATACATAAACCACACAACTGAAAGTGACAGGAAAGTTTACCTAAGTGACTGGATAGTGAAAGCACAAAGAAAACAAGCCTAAGGCCCTCAGGCTACAGTCTTTCTCCAGCCTAGTCAATTAGGTGAGCATGTGCAGGGGAGTGCCTCTCCCCCTAGTGGAGACTAAAGAAAATAGCAGGGGAGTGAAAACTGACAAGATCCTAGGGAGCTAAGTTGCAAAAACGGAAAAGGGGCGGCGGGGGGGGGGGAAAAGCACATTTGTTGGCTGGGTCTAATATGCAAGTAGCTGGAATTGGGGAGGTTAAGGACTGCAGCTAAGAAAAAAAGTGGAAAGCCAGCTGTCACTGTTCCAGAGGCCTTCGTGGCCTCCTCGAGGGCACCCTCCCTCAGGTCTCAGGCCTCTTAGCCATCATCTTTCTTGGGCCAGTAATCTATGTTCCTCTCCTTCTACACCAAGGATTTCAGGCTGCAATTGCTTCTTGAAACTCACAGTGATCACCTTAGCAAGTCTGTTTTTAGTTCAGCACCTGCCACACTGTTCTCTCCCAGGGGCGATGACAGGGTTTACCAGTGACCAGCCAGCCTTCATAAAGCAAAGTATTTATTTAGAACAAAAGCATCGCATATCGTGAAAACAATAAACAGTTTATGTGCATGACTGTCTTGCCAGGTGTCACCCATCTTCCACATGGAGACCCTGGTAGGTTTCAAAGTCCTTCAAACCCTTTCTGCAGGGTCTGGCTCTCTCGGTCACAGTGTCATTTCAGTAAGTTCTTGCATCTAGTGAGAGTGACATGCCCTCACACCCTCTCTATATTAGGGAATTGCATTAATTCCCTCCCGCTCCCACAGTGATTTTAGTGCTTTATTGTTCATTCACGCTTAGCGACGTCCCCCCAGTCACTTCATTGCTTGCTCTGTTCCAAGAAAGAAATTAACCTCTTTACACCCAGCAGGTAACAACAATATAAGGTGAGAGGGGAAACTGAGTCACACATATATTCTTTCATTAAAAAAATCAGAAGTTTCCCAGTTCTCCACACCAGGTTAATCCCAATCAAGGAAGTGTGTTCTTCAGATCTTCAGTATGGAAAATGAGTGTAGGTGTTA